ACAAGGTAATTAATTATTAATAACAATTGTTATGGTTTGTGTCTAGGTATCCCCCAAAAGCCTCATGCAGTCTTGGGGCAGCTTCTGGAATTTGTGATTGATTACTGTGGGTGTACTTGCTGTGCCTGCCCTGGGGCAGGTAATTTGTATTACAATGTAAGGAGGGAAAAGAAGCTAGCTGCTTGAGCTGCTGCTACCCCTCCCTTGCGCTCTTGCTCTTTGCCATCACCATGAAAGGTCGCTTTCTGCTGTGTGCTGCTCTGTGTTGGACCCAGCTGAGTATGGACTGAAACCTCCAGTAACTGTGAGCTAAATAAACCTTTCCTTCCTTCATTTTCAGTGTCAGGTATTTGTCCCAGCAACGAGAGAAGAGTAACTAAGACAACAATGTATTGAATCTTTTCAAAATAGCTAACAAGATTTTAAATGCTCTCACCATAAAAAAATAAGTATTTAAGGTGATGGATATAGATATAGATACCAGCTGGAAGAGCCAAGGCCATACACTTACATGAACATCTAGCTGCGATGGGCTTGAAAAGAGCAAGGAATTCCTAAGCAGCTTGGCTTTGTACATATATGTACAAACCCAGAACATCCCTTCTCTACCATGATTGCAGATTACTAGAAAAACAAAATTAGTTTCCCTCATATGAACAAATTTAATTTCATCTATCATATAATTTTTATATTGAGGAGACCACAAAAATCTATCCCTGAATGTTAAGAAAAATCATTCTCAGAGGTTTTTTGCCTAATAATTTCTCTCAGAGACTCTAAACAACTTGTCCACAATAATCCAAAAAAGAGTAAAATTCTAGATAGTGATTTTTGTTTAATTGTTTGAGACAGGGACTCATATGCAATTCAGTCTGGCCAGGTAGATACTTATGCCTCTGAACTATCTCCCCCGCTCCTAAAATAGTGATTTTATATTTATCAACAAATCTAAATTACAGATAAAAATTGTTTTTTCTGTGAAACAGAAAGATAAAATCTAAAATCAAACCAAAAGTCTTCTTGAACAAATAGATCTGTAACTATTTTGCCAAACTGTTCTTTATTACCAACAAGTTATTTAAATCATTTTAAATTTGTGTATTAATAAAGACAAGAAAAAGAAAACAAGGTCCTACCAATTTGATTTGAAACTATCTCATTGCTATTTGTTTATCAATAAAATTATGGGAAAAAAAAAAGAAAACAAGAGCCAGCCAAGCAGACTAAAACACCTGCAAGCAGGTGCAGGGGCTAAGGGTTCGATTCACAGGCCTGCCATGCGGGCCCCACCCCCAGAGCATGCTAAAACCACAACAGGCAGATCACTACGAGTCCAATCTAGTAGTGAGACCCTGAACACCCTTTAGACCCTTCCCTAAAAATGAGGAGGAGGAGGAGGAAGAGGAAGAGAAGGAGGAGGAGGAGGAGGAGGAGGAGGAAGAGGGGGAGGAGGAAGAGGGGGAGGAGGAGGAGGAAATGAAGTGTGTGCCTATAATCCCAGCACTCCAGAGGCTGAGGCGGAAGGATCACCTTGAGTTCAAGACCATCCTATATTATGTAGCGCATTTAAGGCTAGCCTCTTATACTATAAAGTGAGACTCCATTTCAAAAAAAAAGGAAAGAGAGAAAGAAAAAATGAGAGAAAAAAAGATCTATGCTAATATGAAAAGAATTAAAGAATAAATCTTAACCAGAAATTAAAGAATAAATCTTTTTTTTTTTAAAGAATAAATCTTATAGAGAAGTAGGCATGTCCGTAATCCCAACTACTTAGGATTTATATGTAAATATTTATACAGAGACATATGTATGTAATTTTAAATAAATTCTAAATTAGAGTATGTATGCTCAGAGTCTATGAGAGCAAATGGCTGAGCTAATATGGAAAATATCTGAGCACATGGCAAGAAAGGAAGCAAGACAAAGTCAAGCTGATGTCACTAAATACTTGCTTTGGAGTACTATAATCCAGAGAGCAAGAACTCTCTCTCCAATGCATTCAAGGATAGCCTCTTATACTATAAAGTGAGACCCCATTTCAAAAAAACTCTCTCTCCAGAGTTCTAGCTCTCTGGATTACAGACCACATTGATCTCACAGGCTCCACTCCACAATCCAAATGCCTTCCACAAGGCACGAACAACATGAGTTGAATCTTTAACATAAAGGATTAATATTTTCAAACTAAATATCAATCTTTATTCTATTAAAATTCTATGAGAGGACTGGCGAGATGGCTCAGTGGTCTAAAGCACCTACTTGGAACAAGCTTGGCAAAGCACAGGGACCATGGTTCAATTCCCCAGCACCACATGCCAGCCAGCCCCGCCCCCTGGTGGGCTGAGCTGGCCACACACACACACACACACACACACACTAAATAAATAAATGTTTAAAAAAAAAAATTCTATGAGACAAAAGTCAAATGCCATTTATAGTATACACACACATTTTTAAACAACTGGAGAAATTTTAATGTAGGCTTTATATTTAAGACTGTGCAGTAAAACAGTATGCTCAGATAATTTGAATTTCAGGCTATAATAAATTTTTAAATCATTTTTATGCCCCAAATATTTCATGCCACATGCATATACTAAAAAATTGCTTTCTATTTGTCTGAAACTGCATTTATCTTTTATTTGCTAAATCTGGCCACCCTATTTTAGATATAG